ATAAAAAAGCTTTTCACTTAAAACCATGGACAAGGATGTGCTTGACATGCCAACGGTGGCTAAAGTCATCAGTGTTATCAAAGTTACCGGATAAAGTGTAAAGAAGTTTAATCCTGAAGACATTGACGGCCTATGCCACTTCACTACATTTACGTTACTAGGTCACAAGTTATAGCAGAAAAATTAGGTGAGGTTATCATTAACTAAAACAGTATGTGTCAATTACCTCGGCACCAACATTTGGAATATCAGCCATCCCATCAACAACGACTGAGCCAAGAGTGTCCAATGCCCGCTGGTCCCTCTCCGTAACTGCCTCTTCCAAGCAGGGACCTCCGCCCGTCACCAATCGATCGGCCTTTGCCTTCCTAGCCCTGGATCTTACTTGATTTTTCCAATGGGCTAGAGACTGAAATACAAATAATGTTCCAACTCTTATAACAACAATTTGGTAATATGATTTAAGATTTACCTCTTTCCATTTATTCGGAGTGCGTATCGGCCCTTTAAGAGCGTTAAGTTGCTCTGCTAGCTCTATCCACAGCTCCTGTATCCTTTTTGGCCGCGTCGGGTCATTTTTGTTGAGCTGCAACTCAGGGTGGCTCCGCATAAACGCCAGGTAGCACTCTATTTGCTCCTTGCTTGTGCGCGTTGTCTTTTCTGTATCTGTAAAATAAAAATACCTTATTTTCAAAGAAATTGAACAAAATAAGAAAAACTAAATTTATGTACAATTACTTACCTTCATCGGCCATTTTAGTTGAATGCACATAGTGATGAATACGGCATTAATCGATTGCTCACTTTTCTGGCCTTTATATATTCTCCCAGAAAATCGATTCAGATAAATTGCCTATAAAACCAAATGTCTAAACATTTTCTTATAAATTCTTTGTAGTTATCATATTCTTTATATTTCTAATGTACGATTTTGCTTTAAAAATGCGTTTAAAAACCTATTTTTTTATGTAATCGATAAATGAATATTTGTTGAACTATTTTATCATCCCAATTGGAACATGCTATCAGCTGATTGTCTCTGTTTGTATTCACCACACATTTTTGGTGAAATTTTTGTGACTCTCTCTTACTGAATACCAAAATTGTCTCAAGTCACAAAAAAAATCACAAATTGATAGTCTCAAATTTAGTGACTTGAGATGAGACTGAGTTACTGAATACAGCCATAAGTGTATATTATGCTTGTGATTGTGTGAATTTGTTCTATACATACATTTCTATTCTTATTTGACGTTAGTTTTGTTGTTGCCTTTCTTTGGACTGAAAATTTGTTTTTTGCGTCCCTTTATTTTTTCCTGTTATTCTCTTTTAGTGAGCACATTTTGCTTCAGATTTTAGTCCGAAAAGATAAGGAATGGACCTATATCCGAAAGGCGAATTGCGGATTGCCAGCGCAGCACGAGCAAGTTGAAATATATTTCCGAAATCGATTTGCGCTCTTTCAATCCCATTCACATCTTGGAGCCAATTTACACGACGACTTTTCATCGTGTTTTTTGCACGTTCCCTTTTAAAAAAGTCTACGAATATCCTCGTGCATTTACACGATGACCTTTTCTTTACCGCGTTTCTTGCGTTGTTTTGATATTTGAGCGTCAAATTTTCTTTGGTCAACTCTTTCGTCCTCATTTTTAAAGCGGAGCGAATCTCGATCTGAAAAGGGGTCTTAATCTAACGTGATAAAGGGATAAATTGCTTAAATTTATAAGTTTATCCACCGTCTTTCAAGAACGCACCTTGGTAAATAATTGCATAAAACGATTTATTATTTAACTTATATGGCTATATTTACGAGATAATATCTATTTAAATAAATATACATATAACATAAAGGCTATTTATTTGATGCAAGTAAAAAGAAACAATGGCAGAATGTCTGTTTGTGTATAAATTAATTTGTCACGGCTACCAAACTTTGCGGCCAAGTTACCAGTGAAACAAAACAAACAGAACGGATAATAACACTATGCGACAGTTAAAATCGGGATGGGATGAAACCAACGTAGTACCCAAACCCGGTAGTTTGAACCCTTCCCGATCACTGACCCCTACCATTTGTCTCACAGTGTAATGGAACCAGTTCTCTATCAGGATCACATCGTTGTTGTTGAATTTGCCTGCAAAATTTTTATGCGTATTGCCCAAGAAAACATAGCTTGAGTTGCGACAGAAATCGCTGGAGAAATTAATCAGAAATGTGTAAACGAGTTTCCATAAAAATTTTGATAGTTCATTTATAAGGTTTACACAATTATAAGTATATGGTTTACAATGCATTTATAAGAAGGGTATTCATCAAACCTTATAAATGCATTGTAAACCGTATAAACTTATAATTGTGTAAACCTTATAAATTAACTGTCAAAATTTGTATGGAAACTCGTTTACACATTTCTGATAAATTTCTCCGGCGATTTCACTCTCTTTTCTATCAATTGACACAGGCCCTAGATATCTAAATGTTATGCACAAATTTACTTTAAAAGAACTAGCGTGCAACTGACTTATTATTTGAGAATTTATCTAAATTATTCCAATTATAAAATTGTGATGTAGCTTTATTGGAATTGTAATACGCATTTAATTTCATCTTCTGGTTAAAATGGATCGATCTTTGTAAATTTTAATTGAACATTATTCAATATTATCAAAATCACCCTCTACCAAATTAATTTTTACATATTTCGTCTGTTTTCCCTTAATTTGATAAAATACTTCTTCCTAGTTACGACTTAGTTGCAGCTGCAGCCGAAACTAAATTTTAAGTTGGTACTTAGCCAGAAAAGTCGAAACTAAGGCGACTATGAATAGC